AGGGCGCGCGGGTCGGCCGCTGGGAGGAGGGGACGCGCTGGACATCCCTTGGTCGGGGGTCTCTGGCTCTTGCTTTAGAAGGCTCTGCAGTGGGGGAACTTCCCAGTGGCCGGGGCCAAATCCCGGCTTGGAGCTGTCAGGGCCGCTCACATCAAGGATGGCGGTAAGGGAGCCACTGGCTTTCCAGGGGGGACCTGTTTGCCTTCCCACTTGGTTTTCTAGGACTCAAGGACTGAGGTGTGTGTGTGTGTGTGTGTGTGTGTGTGTCTCGGGAGGGCGTGCACGGTTACCCCACCTCCGTGCAGTTACACACCAGACTCGCCCGAGCGCAGATCATCGCTGCTGCTCGCGCAGAGAGAGAGAGAGAGAGAGAGAGAGAGCTTCACCGGGGCCGCATTGCTATCCAGCGGCTCTCGCTGGGCGACCCCCACCCGCCAATCAGCTCCCTGGGCTGCCCTGAAGACTGCCGCACCTGTTTTCCTTGCCATCTTGGAACCAATCAATTCCACGATTGATTGGCTTTCTTGTACCTGGAGGGGAACGGAAGGGAACCAGTGGAGCGCAACCGCTTGTTTACCACCTGGTCGGTGGAAAGAGAAAGTTCGGGGTTATTTTGTATTATGGGCTTGGGAGTTTGGGGGAAAAGGAGGGGGGAATAAAGGTAAAAGAAAAGGCTAATAAAAAAACACGGGCAGGGGCCAGAGTATTCTACTGTTTTAAAATCAGTTCTTTGCCCACATTCGGGTATGTTGTGCGTTTCTTGCAGACACATTCGTAACAAGAAGGGCATCCCATGAGTAAATTTAAGATGATAACGTAGTTTATAAAGATGTCTAAAACAGCCAGTGAAAATATTGATTCTCTTGGGGGGCTGGGGGGGGCATTTAAGTGTCCAAACAAGGAAACATTTCACCAAAGAAGGTGCCAAAGTGGAACCTGGGGGATAAGTCAGTATCCTGAAATTGAATACTTTCTTTAGTCCTTACTTAGGCTGGAGAGGAAGATAACATGAGTTGTTGATGCTGGAAAGTTTCACACCACAAAAACAGTTGAGATGTTAGCTGCCCTCTCAGCTCCCTTGGTTTTATTTAGGCTCCTTTTTCTAGTACATTTTTTTCCCCTGGGAACTTTTTCTGCCAAAGAGTCCTATCTCGTAAAGAATTCTGTTAGATTTTGTGGAAGCTTCCTTCCCTCCTTCTGCCCCTGCCCGCATTTCCTTTTATATAAGGCAGAGATTGTTTTCTTTACACTTTGACATGTCTTAATACTTTAAAGTTTATGGTGAATCAGTCAAAACCATGCGCCTCCCCCCCCCAACCACACACACGCACACACACACACACACACACACACACACATAGGTGTGGGTCTGTGAGGAATCTGTTTTATGTCAAGCTTCAGTAACCACCCTGAGAGTGGCAGCCTTGAGAAATCTTGGTTTTTAGCTGGTGCTATTTCCATTTAAGAAAGGATCTTCCCCTCACTCTCCCCCCTACTCTTGTGTGTTTTGTGTGTGTGTGTGTTTAACTGTCTGAAATTTGAAATTACTTCACTGCAGAACTATTTCCCTGAAGGTGTTTTAATCCTTAAATTCTGCAGGAATGAAGGAGTTCGTGTGGGTGTATGTGTGTGATATTTAATTATTTTCTAAAATAATGACAAAGGGGAAATTATTTTTAATTTCAAAAGTGTCTTTATTTATTTTGAATCTTTTTGTTTGATAGGTGGCCCAGGCAAATAGTGTCGTCCATTGGCCTGTGTCGTTATGGTGGGAGGATTGACTGCTGCTGGGGCTGGGCCCGCCAGTCCTGGGGACACTGTCAGCGTGAGTATCATCACCTGGGGACTTCAGCTCCCTAGGCGGGGGGCTCCACCCTCATTCCAGGCTTCACTCTGCACACCAGAGGCTCAAGCAGGGCTTGGCGGTATGGTTCTGACATGGGAGTTTCAGTTCCTGTCCCAGGCTCTGCCTCTTTCCAGCCTGAGCCATCTGTAAGGAGCCAGTTGTGTGACTCACCGGGTGCTCATTTCAGCATCTGTCCCCCGTCTCTCCTGCTTCGGTTTTCTGACCAGGCTCACTCTCTTCTTTGCTGCAGGCTCTGAGATGGGGGTAAGATAATGAGTCTAGACTGTATTTACACTAAATAAACTCAAGGTATAAAATCCTTACCATAGCTGTTGTGTAAAGAGGCCCCTTTTTTTGAAGTGAGGTTGTATTGACTGTTGACTGTGTTCTAAATGGACCACCCAGTATAATCAAATAATACCTCTGAAAAAGGCATCATTTTTAAGTTCTTTAAGTAATCATGTAATAAGTGTCAAGTCAAAACATTAATTTTTACCTTTTCCTTGATCACAAATGAGTATTTTTAAATATATTTTTATTGATTTCAGAGAGGAAGGGAAAAGGAGAGATAGATAGGAATATCATTGATCAGCTGCCTCCTGCACACCCCTTACTGGGGATGGAGCCCACAACCCAGGCAGGTGCTCTTAATTGAATCAAACTCAGGACCCTTCAGTCCACAGGCCGACACTCTGTCCACTGAGTCAAACCGGCTAGGGCACAAATGGATATTTTTATGGTAAAAATCAAAGCTACATCACAAAAGTTGGAAAAATTTGTTCCCAATATTTTATCTGGATTTCAAAATTGTATCTCACGCCCCTGCAAAAAAAACACAAACCCCCCCCCCACAAACAAACAAGCAAAAGAAACACCCCCCCACACACAAAGCACCCACAAATAAGTAAATTTCAGGAGCATCTTTAAAGTACTAGGTGGCAGGTCTGTTGAGATGATGGGGACAAAAGCGGGTTCTGTATATCCCAGTGTTTTACTGCTAATAAGAAAGGGCCTTAAAGGAATAGAGAAGGGTAGTTACGAAAGCTGGAGCTGGAAGGGGAGGAGCTTGCCTTAGAAACGTGTTGGTAATGTGAAGAGTAAATTTAAGTTCACTTTAAGCAAATTAAATTTACTCTAAGTAAATTAAAGTTAGGTATGCCCTTGGCGGTTTCAGTCTTTGAGAATTGCATGTGGTGTCTATCCTGAACTCTCTGAGGAGGGAGAGGGACAGTCACAGGATGACTCTCGAATCGCATGCGCAGGCTGACATCTCTGTTTAGGGGTGGAAAGGTAAACGGGACTAATGTTTGTCTACCTGCTCTCTGCAAGCCACTGGGCCAGACTTTTTGCACAGCTGGCCATTACATTCTATTATAAAGGGAGATGCTGGTAACTCCAGTTTCCAGTAAACAAAAGAACTAGGAAAGCTGTTGTGCATCCTCCCCTTGCTCCCCGCCCCCCCCGCCT